CCAAGTCTTTCACGCTATCTTCTTTCATTGCGGACCAAAGCAGGCAGCTGAATAAGGATGGAATCCTTTGCCCCAGACTCCGTAAAATATAGGTCTAATTAATTACACACATATTTCAGGTGAGGAGCCAAAGTCGGGGCGCACCTGTTCAATCCCAGAGGCTACGGAAAGGCCAGTGGACAGGCCTTCACAAGAGTCTGAGAAGCCTCTAGACACCAAGCCCGCCGAGAGCTTCCATGAGAAGACGGGGGCAGCCAAGCGGCAGTGGCCTTCATCTGAAGTGGAAGGTAGGACACGCCCAGGAGGGCACAGAACCTGAGGTGCGTTTGGGGATGGGGCGCACAGGAGCCTGTGGTGGGATGCTAGTAGCAGGGGGCGTGCCCTGACGGTGGAGTGGGTTTTAGGACCTTTAATATCAGAGTTCTAGCTGGAAGATGTAATAAGTTTAGTAAAGGTTTAGGTGAGTTCCCACGTGGTAGATGCGGAACACACAGTCAAGAGGGCTAAGCAGTGCGCAGATCCAAACCAGGCCTGCTGTCCTCCCGAGGGCTGGACGCCTTTGGCCCCAGTGTCGTTCCTTCGGCATTCCACAGACTGGGACAGAGCCTGGGAAGCTGCTCCTCTGCGGAACACGGTCCCGTGGGAGCCCTCTGCCTGGCCACAGAGATCACGGAGGGGATAGGATGTTGGTGAAAGAGCTGCGCAGAGTTACTCACCATAACAGCCTTTGGGTGTGGGTCGGGGTTGAAGCCACAGAAGCAGCAGAATGTGAAGTCTTCCATCAGTTTTATCATGTGCGTCGTGAAAACGGAATTGTTAGGTAATTAAACCAAGGGAGGAACGATGGGGTTTGTGTTTCCAGAACAGAGGCCTCTCACAGGCCCATTGCTGTAACTGGGTAGGAACCAGTGAGGCTGCGGCAGCTGGAATTGCCGAGTGATAGGTTGTGAGGGCAAAGCAGGGAGCCATGCCCGTGGGCTTCGGTGACTGTGAGGACACATGGCCGGTGGGTCAGACAAGGCAGGGCAGGATGGATGCCCGCCTGGCAGGGGAGAGGAGCTGGGCACAGGCAGCTCCAGATCGAGGCCCCTGGGGGTCATCAAGGGCAGGAAACGTTTGAGATGAGGGCGCTTGCCTTGGGGGCAAGGCCTGGACTTCAAATCCCAATTTAAGAGCCCTTACTTGAGGGCTGAAGAGTGCAGGAAGGGCCAGGGTCCTAGGGGGGACGTTTGGAAAACTGCTACTAGTCTGTTAGGAGGCTTTTGGCTGCCAGTCACAGAAAAGCCATCCAGACACAGCTTTAGTGCTGAGAGGCTCGGTACCCCCCAAATGGAGGAGAGGTCAGAGGTAGGGCCTTCGGCGCGGCAACATCAAGGGCTGTGTGTTTACACTCTGCCATCCTCTGTGTCCACGGTCCGCAGACGGCTGGATGGCTTTTGGCGTCACACACGTGGGACTGCATGTGTGAGAGGCGTTACTTCTTGCTTCGTATCAGCAAGGAGAATCTTCCCCCAGAAGCCTTGTGTGCCCGGTGTCTCCAGGATGGGCTGTACCTCTGCCAGCAAGGGAAGGTGTGGGCAGGGGACTCCACCAACAGTGTCTGTCACACTCTCACTTCGGGGGTGGAGTGAGGATGGAGTTTCAAGAAAGCGAGTGGAGACTGCAGTCACAAGGAATGTGCCGCCCTGTGTACGACGCCCAAAAGCATGACGCGAGTGAAAGAAGCCAGATATAGATTCCTATTCCATTTACATGAAAAGTCCTGCAAAGGCAAATCCATATGGAGGGAAGCCTGGGCTAAGGGTGGGCACAGGGATCGGTCACAAGAGGGCACAAGGGCCCTTTGGAGGGTGATGGAAGTAGTCATGAAACGGAGTCAATCGTTGCCCAACTTTGCAAGTTTACTGTATTCCATTTAATCGCGTGCTTTAAACAGGTGAATTTTGTGGTATTTAAATTGTACTGAAGAAAGCTGTTAAGAAAGAACTAGTTGGCAGTGTTGAATGCTGCAGCGAGGGGTGGAGTAAACCCAGAGAAGGCTGTCGAATGGGACCAGCAGCTGGTCTTGCTGGCCTTGCAGAGAGAGGCACTGGGAGTCGGGAGTGCGGACAGGACCTGGTCTGCCAGGGGCAACCCCTCAAGTAGGGCAAGAGCACCTTCTCTTCCACCTTCTGGTTTTAAAGCTGAGGAATTCCCCCATTAGATTTGGGAAAGTGAAAACTTTTGGAAGTCACGTTTCTTTATGTCATCCTAATACCATAAAAGCCTCAGAGAAATAGCAAGTTCAACAAGTCAAAATTCTGTGTATTATACAATTTAAAAAGTAGGTTTTACTACTGTTGGGTAGAAATCAGAAAATGATTGCTGGGCTGGGGCCGGGGCAGGCTAGCTGACTGGAACAGGGCCCGTGGGAGCTTTGTGGGGTGGAGGAAAGTTCTGCATCTCATTTGCGTGATGACACGGGTGCGTACAGTTGTGGAAAACTCTCCCGCTGAACACTAAGGACCCTGCGTTTTGTCTAGTGTGTTATGCCGCGGAAAACATGGAATATGCATGAGTCCTTGTCTCTTAGAGCTGCACCCGTATTTTAAGGGCAAATGGACACACTGGGTGGGGATTTGCTGCCACGGGAAGGCGTGCACCTGTCTCTGCAGGTGCTACAGCCCCTCCCAGCCCACAGGTCCTGTGGTGTGACCTGGGGGTCTACATCCCATCTCCAAATCTCTGCAGGCCTGACACTCTCCTGTAACCAGTGGAGTGGTGGAAGTGACTTGTGGGCTGGGCGGCCTGGCCGGGCTCACGGGGACGCTGGCTGTGCTGGGAGCCACCATGCTGGGAAGTGCTCGGCTGCTGGGCAGGCCACAGGGGAGCCGCAGCCCGCGGTCCTGATCTAGCAGCCCGTCCAGCCCAGGTGCCGGGCTTGTGACGAGCTTGTCGTGACTCCAGCCCCAGGCTTGGAGTCTCCCTAGCCGAGCCACTGCATAACACGTAGCAGCCCTGCCAGTGGACATCCATGTGTCCAGCCCAGCTGAGCCTTCAGACAGCATCTGACTGCAGCCCCTGGGAAACCACAGGTGATAACTGCCGGTAGAACCTTTCCTGAATTCCTGAGCCATAAAACAGTAAGAAAATGGTTGTTTCAAGCTGCTAAGGTCTGGGGTGAGTCACTACTCAGCAGTTGTAGTAACCAGAACACAGGGTAAGAGCTGGAGTGGAGATCAGGTTTGGCTGGGGTTTATGAGGATTTTGGCAGTTGGGCGATGGGTTGTATTGTGCTATTGCTGCTGCTTCTGTCTGTGCTTCAAATTTCGCATTACAGAATCCACAAACATACATTATGCAGACCGAACACCACAAGTGCGCAGTCAGCCAATTCCAAAATGCTGCAGATTCTTCTGAAAAAGTAACTCTGATTTTTCTACAAATAAATGACTTGAAAAAAAGGTGGTGTCTTGGGCTTCCCTGGTGGCGCAGTGGTTGAGAGTCCGCCTGCTGATGCAGGGAACACGGGTTCGTGCCCCGGTCCGGGAGGATCCCACATGCCGCGGAGCGGCTGGGCCCGTGAGCCATGGCCGCTGAGCCTGCGCGTCCGGACCCTGTGCTCCGCAACGGGAGAGGCCACAACAGTGAGAGGCCCGCGTACTGCAAAACAAAAAGAAAGAAAAAAACAAACAAACAAATACCATGGGCTGGGGGGCTTAAACAACAGACTTTGTTTCTCCTTGTTCTGGAGGCTGGGGAGGCCCTCAGTCTGGCTGTGCTCCTGTGAGGACCCCTCCCTGGCCCGCAGACAGCTGCCTGATTGCTGTGTCCTCACGGGGCCATGGCCTCATCTAAACCTAATTCCCAAAGGCCCCACTTCTAAATACCAGCACACTGGGGACTAGGCCTTCAACATATGAATTCGGGGGATACAGACTTTCAGTCACAGCAGAGAGGACTGGTAGAAGGAGACTTGGGAGACCTCTGAGCAAAAAGCAGTGTGTGGGTCTGGGCTAAGTCATTCTGGAGAGAATCCAATTGGGTATTAGGTGACAACAAAGAATCGACGATGATATCCTGAGATGTGACAGTGCTATTGTGGTTATGCTAAAAACTATCCTTGTCTGATAGGAGTACTGCATTTTTTGTTTGTGTGTTTGTTTATGCGGCAGGTTCTTATTAGTCATCAGTTTTATACACATCAGTGTATACATGTCAGTCCCAGTCGCCCAATTCAGCACACCACCATCCCCACCCCCCGCGGCTTCCCCCCCTTGGTGTCCATACGTTTATTCTCTACATCTGTGTCTCAATTTCTGCCATGCAGACCGGTTCATCTGTACCATTTTTCTAGGTTCCACATATGTGTGTTAATATACAATATTTGTATTTCTCTTTCTGGCTTACTTCACTCTGTATGACAGTCTCTAGATCCATCCATGTCTCTACAAATGACCCAATTTTTTTTCACTCATTTTTTTTTTTTTTTTGCGGTACGCGGGCCTCTCACCGCTGCGGCCCCTCCCGCTGCCGAGCACAGGCTCCGGACGC